AAACCTCCATACCCAAAAGAGGGTGTCTCAGCCGCAAAGGGCTTACAGGGTGTAAGAAGATAGTGGCATGATATACTCGTAGCTAAGGACAGGGAGCGTCAGTTGATGACCGGTAGGTTAAAACAGTCGATGATAATGATTTTAATGGTTGCGTTGATGTCCCTCTTTCAGATGTGACGTGTCCTCTATGCCTTGTTGAAATTTCAACCAAATTTAGCTGCGACGTCCGAACAAGAATATGTTTCTTTTTTAAACATTTACGAAAAAATTGAATAGATCGCAGATGTCTGGAAATGGTAGCAATAAATAAATAATTGTTGTTATTTATAAACCCTAAACGCGAGGAGCAGATTCATTGGGACACTCCTTTGTGTCTTGTATTGCTGTTTTTTACTGCGGGCTCCCGGTGTTACCAATTAATTTGACTCCCATATTCGTTGCGAAATAATCGGTAGTTACATAATAAAAATATTCGAAGAACCTGTCCACGTTCTAAGAACTCGCGATTACTCTTAGAAGGCCTTTTCAATATTTTCTTGTTCCATAAATTGGTGAGATCATTTTAACGTTGCCTAATATTTTCACAATTGTAGATTGTAACTCTGAAAAATACCTTCTAATATGTCTCAATTATTACGTAGGGGGGTTAATATATAATATACATACGTAGGTGGCGTATATTGGGGAATTATAATAAGGGTAATCGAAATTGTTGCAATATAGTTATTATTTTCTCACTATAATATTTCTAGAAACTTTTTTCACGTCTTAAATGCACAATCTCTCCTTTGCCATCACTCCGAGATTCAGGAAATTTTAATGAAACATAAATTTCACGCAATTCTCATTAGCGAAACATGGCTCAAAAAATCTTTAAATTCTCAAACAGTCAAATTCCCCGGTTACCGTTTTTGGGGATCTGATAGAAAATCCAGCGTGGCTTCACATGGCGGTGGTGTCGGTATCAATTTACGTGACGACATTAGCTGCAAAGTTATTTTCTCTTCAGCAAATCATCAAGACCACTTCACCAAATATTTAATTGCTGAAGTTAATCTCTCAAGAAAAAAGCGTCTCTTGGCGGTAGTTTATTCTCCTCCCAAATCAGGCAATATCGACGATCTAGACGACTTACTCGCTTCCTGTGTCACTAAATAGAAGGACATTCTTATAATGGGCGACTTCAATTGTAACTTGCTGGAAAAAATCTGCTTCATCCGACAACTTTGCTCGTGTTTTTCGTAACATGAACCTAACGATTCTTCCTCTAAAGCCAACTCACATCACAAGAGATACTGAAACATGGATAGATAATATCATAGTGTCAATTCCAGAAAGTGCGCGTTTTCATGGACAATTTTCCGTTCCAGGAGTATCAAAGCATGATCTTATCTACGTATCGTATAATCTCAAGTGGCCAAAATACACACCAAAAATAATAAAATATCGAGATTATAAAACCTTCGACGCAAATTCTTTTGTTTCTGATGGATTTTCGGTTCCTTGGAATCTTGTTCAACATGAAACTACGCTCAATGGTAAAGTAGCAGTATTTACGGAATTGTTGAATGGACTAGTAAATAGACATATGCCACAAAAAACGTCACGCGTGACACGATCCGCAGCTCCGTGGATATCCGGTAAAATTCGCCAAATGATGCATGATAGGGACACTGCGTATAAAGTTTTTCGGAAAACAAGAAACAACAAAGACCATGCTACTTATAAAAAACTTAGAAATCATGTCACCCAAATGTTGAGAAATGCCAAAATTAAATATTATCACACCATTTTTCAAAATAACTGTGATTCCAAATTGCTCTGGAAAAACTTGCGAACTATAGGTGTTGAGAATATTCGAAATTCAACAGAAATAAATTTACCACTTGATTCGCTAAATCATGCTTTTGTTAAGCTTGCGCAGCCAATAAATCCATTTGTAAAATCTCGAACTTTATCCTTGCTGCGAAGCACAGATATTAGTATTACAGACACTTTCTACTTTGCGTCAGTAACCCCCACCGATGTCACTAAAATTATTTTAAGTCTAAAATCAAACGCCTCCGGTTCCGACGGAATCAACGCAAAGTTGCTGAAGCTCGGAGATGAAGTAGCACTCCCAACAATTGTAGACATAATAAATTTCTCGCTAATGAGCGGCGAATTTCCCTCGGCCTGGAAGACTGCACTTGCCCATCCTCTCCCTAAAAGCGCCAATCCTATGACGCCTGTTGATTACCGTCCCATCAGTATCTTGCCAACATTATCAAAAGTTCTCGAAAATGTTGCCAGGAAACAGATTGAACATCACCTTCAAAATTTTAGTATCTTAAACAAAAACCAGTGAGGGTTTAGACCCGGTAAAAGCACGGGAACTGCGCTCCTCAGTGTAAGACGCCAGAGATGCAATGGACAACGGTAAATTCACAGTTCTTGTCCTTCTCGATTTTAGCAAGGCATTTGATTCAGTCGACCACGATATTTTGTTAGAAAATTTAGGTGTACAAATGGATAATACTCTAAACTGAAGTGTTCAAATTGATAAAATCTGTCAAAAAATGCTCGCGTCCCTGCCCCCGTCCGTCCCCGTCAGATCTTGGTACAATCCCTCCTTATGCCTCATTTTGATTACTGCGATTTCTTATTGACTGACATAAATTTAAAACAGCAACGCAAATTACAAGTAGCTCAAAATGCATGCATTCGTTTTATTTCGCCCTTAAAAAATACAATCATATTTCAACTTTTTACGCGGATTCAAAAATTCTTACCGTTGATAAAAGACGTTTACTTCACTGCCATTTTATTCTCTACAAGATTTTAAACAGCGCTCATCATACCACTCTCTCACAACGATTTCAGATTATGAAACTACATTGTGCTCGATCGTCACGCCTTATTTTTATTCCTCACCACAATACCTCTACTTTTAGCAAATCATTCACTGTTACTGCCATTCGTGCTTGGAACAATCTTCCCTCCTCTATAAAAAATAGCTGTACATTTCAAAAGTTTAAAAAAGAAGTCACAAACTGGATTCATGAAAATACTACTTCAGACATTGCCACTGCTCGTCTGCAAATGCTGAGAACTGGGTGGACGTCGTGCTGTTTCAGCGCTGTGACGAATCCCTTTCTTATTCCATTCCTATCTATCTTACACTGTTTTACTCCATTTTCCAAATAAACACTTCCATCTCATCCTCTATCCTTTCACATCTCTCTCTCTCTCTCTCTCTCTCTCTCTCTCTCTCTCTCTCTCTCTCTCTCTCTTTATCACTAAAATCCATCGTTTCTGTGTTTCCTTCCTCTCTTTTAATTTTCATTCTAGGTTATTTAACTCTTTCTTTCCTCTAAATTTAATCCTATTATTTTAATTATTTAACTTTCGATTAATTTTACACTTACCCTCATTAAGTCACATTTACATTTATCCTTATTAAATAATTTGAACTCTTTGTAATCTAGCTATTTGTCATTAAAACCTACTTGTACACTCCCAACCCTTTTTAAATAACCTATATAAAACCAACCTCTCCACACTTACATCACTTTTATTACAGAACAAAAATGTGTGCATACCTGTGCGTTGAGTATGTGATTTGGCATTTGTGCATTTGCTCATTTGTGCCACTCATTTGTGTTATATGCATACGTTCATTTGCCCACATGTGCTTGTATTCAAAATATAATTTGTGTGATTTTAAATTTTGTCTAGATGTGTTTTACTAATTTGCAATCTTTCTGCTTCAGTTCATCGTTTCTTACAACTTTCACCATTGTTAAGACATAATATTCAATTCAAAATGTTCCCTTTTTTTTTTTTTTTTTTTTTTTTTTTTTTTTTTTTTTTTTTTTTTTTTGTATTTTGTATTTTGGGTATACTGAAATTGCTAACTTGTATTGTGTTTGTGACAGTATTGTGTCTTGGCCTTAAGCCGCCATTCTGATTGAGGTTTACCTGGGTTTACTCAATCGCTTACGGCGCATGCCGGGATGGTCCCTTGTTTGCAGTTCCAGGAATAAATGTAGTATATATCGTTGGCTTACTGATGGAAGATGTTGGGTCGGATTTTCAGGTCTTAGGAATATTCAAATTGGTAAACAGTTCCTAAATTTCCATAATATCTCTTTTTCTAGTGCGGGGTTTAAATTGAAAATGTTTCCTACAATATGAATTGATCGTTTTTATTCCCCCTCTTTTTATTTAATTTAAAAACCAAATAGTTTTATAAAACATTCTCATATTATTAATATTGTTAATATTATTGTTATAATTGTTACGAAATAAAGTATTATGCTTACGAAATACTTTATTTTCCAACGTTTTCCATTTTTCTCTGGTAACTCGATGCGTTTTCGTTCGTATGCTGATGATATTTCCCCCTTTCTAGTCTTCTTTAGGGGAAATTCAATAATACGTACGTAATCTTATCTCCTTCAAAACCTCTGCATGAAACATTTAGTAGTACTTAATAACCTTTCACTGACTTATACAAGATCCGTCCAATCCTTCCTTACCTAATTTGCTGAGTCATATGCTGGAAATATAATTTATCTACATTTTGAATAAATTCTCATACCTTTCTAATATATTTATCATTAACTTTAACCCATCCCTTACTTAAAATAAATACATTTCATCTCACTCATAAGTTTCATTTCATCAATGCCGTGAGAGTATTCCCTTTTCTATCTACTCCTTCCTCCCTCGTTTACATTCCTGTCTTCAGAGTGAAAAAAACCCTCATCCTAATTGCGTACGTATTTCTCATTTAATGACCTTTTTTTCATGAACTATTGAATTTAATTTTTTTGAAAATGGTCAGGCGGAAGAGCAGGCTAAAGGGCCTTAGCCTCGCCATCAATGAAGACATTTATTTATTTATTTGTTATTATACTCTTTATGCAATTACGAGTTGTGATCTGCGAAGCACACTGGGTTAATTTTAAATCTAAATTTTTTTGTTGCGTTTACTCAAGTTCATATTTTTGTTCCAGATTATTTTCACCATTCTCCATTGTTTTTGCGGTATCTCTATCAATTATGTTGTGAACCCACATTTAGACGGATGGCGTGGATGAATGTTAGGTATGTGTAAGTATAATTGGATCGGTTATTTTTAAAACCCCGCAAGTCAGGAATTGTAAAGTTGTGTGAAAGAATAAAAACCGAATAATTAAGTACATAGAGAACATTTCTCTTTTCGCTTTTTTTAAAATTTCGAATGTATATATTTTAATTGAGAATGCCACGGAGACATGTAATTTACTTGTATCAATGTCACAGTCACTGGACTTATTTAAAAGTTTATGACTTTGATTTCAAAAACAAATCAGGAAATGTTTACCTAAACATGTAAATAAACGCATGCAGACTCAGCTTGTTATTTGACACATTTATTACAATATTATGTAAAATGGCAATGTGCATCTACATGAAAAATAATTCAAATGACTGAAACAGTTGTTTGAAATATGTGTTTTTGTGATAATACATAGGAATATTTCAGTATTGAACATCCGGTTTAACTAATATCTGTCAGTGATATCCCAGTCATACACATTGTATACATACATACACACACACACACACACACACTTTCCCCGCAAATCAATGACTTACAGAGTTTTCAAACCGAACCAAAACTTTGGAGTGTCCGCACGGCCATTCTATTCTTCTGATTTATGGAATTTAGACATGGGACGATGTCCTGCAGCGATATCCTGCAGCGTCTCTTTTCTCACAAAACGCGAAAATGCAAAAGAGTGACACCGGGTTATAAAAATAACCAATTCAATTCTTGGGGGTAAAATCTAGCCACGGCCTCAGACCATTGTCGGTATTTGAACCATTTTGAACTTAATTAGTATTCATATGCAACATACGATAATGAAGAAATCTTAAAAAATAATGCTTATTTTTGTTATTTTACTAAGTAGATAAGGAGGTCCAAAATACTCTAGAAAACTATATGAAGACCGTTCTCCATTTTGCTCCTCAAAACTATTACTATAATGTACAGCGAATTAATCAAGCAAATATTTTATACACTTTGTGATGTGCGTATTACGGATGTATGTTGCATATTATCTTAAATTTAAGAGTTATTTTCACCGATTTTTTCCCGTATACATACATATGTATATATGGAGTAATATACGTTGTGTAAGGAACGTTATGTAATGCTGTGCGAAAAAAGGGTTTTCGGCAGAAACAAATTATTGCCGTCCCCTGATAACGAAAAAGTGGATAAATCCAGTTACTAAATTAACAAGAAAATCCTCTAAAGCGTGATGTAACCAGAAGCCCTTGTTTCATAGATCCTTGATACCGAAAAACCAATTGACCGTCTGTCAGTCAGTGAACACCACTAGCGCCATAATCATACGTAGAATTTTTTCCAAAATCGATATACCCCGGTCGTCCTGACTACAACTGATTGCTGAGGCAACTGCCGCAATTTTGAAAAACTGAAAAAAATTGGGGGTACTTTACATGAAACCCCCGGACATTTTCAAAATTTTCTCAAAAACGGCTCCAAATGTTTTCTTTAAATTTCTTGTAAGAATACTTATAAAGGTGACATAAGTTCGATTTTCCCCGTTTCCTCTGAATTTTTGAAAATGGCAAACGTTTGAATTTTTTGCGGCGTCATCCTACAACTATAAAATTGAAGATCGAGATTTTTCGTTCAAACAAAATTTATTCTCTATAGTGACTTCTTTCATTATGGTCATGCACATTTTTTTGAAAATTTTAGGAGTTTTCGCGAAAGATTGTGTGCAATACTTGCAATTAAGAAAACAAACAAAAACAAGATTTTCTCAGAAACTGCTTCAAACTTTTTCTTTTAACGTTTGGTAGGGATAGTGCTAAATATACTCTATGTTATGACACTCAGTTCGTTCTATTTTTTTGTTTTTTTTCTCTTTCATATGAGCATTGCAATTTGATTTGGGGGCACTTTTCATCATCTTATTTGGCTATATCCTTTAAATCCATAAGTTATTTTTGATGCATGGAGAAATGAATTCTGCTAATGAATTGGAAGACGAGGGGGTTTTTATTTTGAAATAAGGGGCCCCCATGGATATGTAAACCAATCTCCTGATTTTCTCAGGATGTCCCTGTCACGTATACTTCGTCCGATCAAACGGTTCGTGTGAAGTGAAGTCGGCAATGAGGTTGTTGTCGACTCAACAGCTCTTTCATAAAAAATTTATCCAATCGCTTTCAGACTATCAATGTTCAGTGGAATTCAACGTTCGCTGTAAATATTTGCTATAGGTCCGTCAATTGACGCGCAAAGAGCAGCCCTGAAACACTCGCATTTAATAATTTATTTTTCAATTCACGCAACTGCATATATTACCCAACCGGAGCGTGTGTATTTTGAGGTTGAATAATTCCCTCGAAAGCGTGAGGTAGATTGTTTATTTTTTGATTGATTGATTAGTGATTTCGGGTGCGTCAACGGCTATGGTCAATAGTAGTAAGTGTAGCGCATGTTTTCATCGCGAGAAGTGGCTGTGATCTTCATCCGCTAGCTGACAGAATCAGGCGCCGACCTTCGTTGGCTTGCGAGGATTTTCATCAACCAGGTATCTCCCTCCAGCGGGACACCGCTTCAGCCGGGACGAGATCTAAGCTCCCGACCGACAGGTGTGATAGTGTACTGCACGTCAGTGTAAGTGTGCGTAAATAAGAAAAGAGGATATGACAAGGAAGAGGCAGGAAAGATCGCGCGCGGTCTATGGCTTGATTGTACTACTCTGGCATTCGCCGGGTGTTGATCGAAGAAACTACGGAAAACTACCGATCACAGCAGCCAGCTACTAGAATTCTCCTAACAGCGGCTGAATTTGACGTAGCTCTGTAAATTAGTGACAAAAATCCTGCAACCACTGGGTCTCTAACCGATCGATCCCCTTGCCTAACAATGGCCAAAGGTCGTTCTGTTTTTTAAATAATTTATTTCTAAATCCCGATTTTGTTCTGGCAGTTGTCGCTTGCAAATTGCAAACCTTTGGTAGTGGCCACATTCTCGACTTAGTAACAAATAATGATGAAAATCAAAATCCAGGTAGATAATTTTAAAGATAGATATGAAACATTTGATGAAGAATTTACAAACATTTTTACAATACTGGGACAATATTCACACATTGCGAAAATTTTATTATACAAATTACAGATTTGCTGTAATGACGCAATAGCCACTGCTTGTGTCGTTATCCTATTACATCTAAATTATTAACCCATTTTATCTCCACGCGGAATTAGCTTCAGTGGTTAGAATCCCCGTCTCCATGCGAAGAATACTGCTGTATTGTTACCTACAATCACCGATCGAGTAGCTTCGGTTTACCCTTTTACACTTTCAGGCTGAGGTCACGTTAAGGACTCTGGTAACCAGGTCTCTCACTAACGCACGGCACTTTTGAAAGCGTTTGCTTATTAATCTCTCATGTAACTGAATGCCACGTTATGCTGCAAAAAAGTAACTGTTTGTTTGCGCCTTTTTTCATTTTCTTGTCATTGAATACTTAAATTAGATACTCCTTTCACAATTAACGAGCTGAAATTATATTCTGAAACACTTAAATTCAGAAAGTCGCGAGTTTGTGTAATGTATTAGATTCTTTTTAATTCTTTACATCTTATGTAATACTAGATACCAACATACCAACATTTCTAATTTGCCACATAAATACAATTAAAAGACAATTATAGTATTTTATAAAAAACATTCAAAATTGGAGAGTGATTTTCCATTCGTTGTATTCAGTATATGTATTCTAGCGGGAAGTTTATCCTTTTAAAATTGCAGGCTATATTAATTCCTTGATATTGTTATTAGGAGATCATATGTTTTTGACAGGTATTTCATAAGAATTATTAAGGGATACATTACGCTGTATCCAGATGGACAAAAATGGCCTCTTCGTCTACAAAATCGACTAGTACGATGATTACACAGGCACACAAAATAAAAAGAAAATTGTCGGATCCAAACACTTGATACACGTTCCTCTATGTATGTTGACGGGTTGAATCCGAATTTGAAGCCGGAATGCACCACCACCCTCCAGTTCTTTTAAAATCGCGAAAAAACACAGTGATATTGTAAATTGTAAATTTCACGGTAGATTCTTTTTTCTTTCGATAAAAGAACCCGGAAGGTGGTGACGGAATTGTAGCTTCGGATTTGGATTCAGCGCGCCGACTATATAGAGAAAAACGTGTCATGTCTCGGGTCTTACAACTTTTGGCTTCTATAGATGATAATGCGATAAGACACCAAAATCTAGCATTCGCATGAGTTCTTTCGCGAAAAGAACAACAACAAAAAACAACTGGAGGATAGTGGCGCAATTCTGGCTTCAGATTCGTAGTCAATGCGACGACATACTACGAAGAGAAATATATGTCAAATCTTTGGGTCTGACAATTATTTTTTTTATTTTGGGTGTCTTGTTATTTCTATTTGGGTGTTCGGGAGACGTCACGTCCTTATCACAGATGTCCGGTCAGCCAAACTAATCGGGGCCGTTGAAGCTTACTTTTTCATCAATAATTGTTACCCATCGTCTTTGACAACACTGACATTTAAGATGAAACTAAACAGTACACCGGTTACTTTTTTACCACATAACATTTGGCACGACTATAGTTTATTAAAAGAGAAGTCCGAAGCACTTATTGTTTATTTACATGAAAATTACACACAAGTTCAATTGGCATAGATAAGTGTTAAGTTAAAGGAAACACTTGTATCAGGACTTAAACATGACGACCTGAACATTTCCATGCTGATGATCCAATTGTTCATCCAATCCAATGATCACTACATTGTTGTCTGCACCAGTTCGTAGTAGACTCTTAAAGTGTTTGTAGTGCTATTGTTATTTATTAGTAGATTTGTTTTCCAAGTGAAAACATAACGCAACTAAACCACCCGAATAATTTTTGTTTTGAGTTGTGTTGACTTTCGAACCGCAAAATAACTTACTTTCTTTACTTTTAAAGTGTTATCATCAATACTAGTAGCAAATCTATCCATCCATTGAGTAACGCAATGAAAATTA